GCCGTCTTTTTCACTTGACTAGAATTGCCTGATGTGCTGATTTTTGTCTCCTTCTACATCTGTTTTGTGGTCTGTGCCCAAATATTTAACAGATATTTAAAAAAAAAAAAAAAAAAAAAAAAGTCAGGTATGCCCTCTTACTTTTTCCACAAATATTCAGTCTGGAATTTAGCCATCTTGATATCAGTCTTTAGCATTCCAGCACATCAGTGTTTTGCTATGGGGCAGAAGAGCATATCCCCAGAGGTTTCTGGAATCAGTCGGTCCTCTTCTGCCTTCTGTGCCAATCAACTGGTTTGGATTTGAAACTTATCCAGAACGAGTAATTATTTGTCATCCAGCTTTTTTTTTTTTTTTTTTTTTTTTAAATGCTTAAAGAACTTGTGGTTTATCTTAAATCAGCCTGGAAAAAATTCAGATTTTGGACTTGGGTCAGAAAAATTAAACTGATGTGAATGTCTTCATATGTGGCACAGCTGCTTCCTCCAGCTCTGTGTGAGTGAGTATTCTTTTAATGAAAGTTATATAGCTTCTATTACCATATACCTGAAGAAAGTATTTTCTGATAACTTATTTATCACTTCAATGGACAGTTAGTAAAAATCCTGTGTGTGTTTTAAACCACTCTCAGCTCACATTGATGTAGTTTGGTTTGTTGTTTAATGAGTTTTAAACTCATTAATCAGAATAACAATGCTTCTTGGTTCCTGTTTTCAACGATGCAGGCTTCATCTGTGTACTAATAATTTTGAAATATTTGTCTTAGGGTTTTATAGTGGGAAAGAATTGCAAGCATACATCTCCCTCAATCTGCTAAGACTGCCCAAATAAATTTCTAAACAGCACTGAATGGGCCCATGTGTATAGACAGAATTCCTGGTTGTGTAAGTGACCAAAAGCAGAAGTACAGGATTATTAGACGGCTTTGTTTCTACCGCATAAAATACTTACAGCCCTGTTGGAGGTTTTGAAGACAAGGCTCATCGGTTTTATGTACTTTCCAATTTAAAGACCCCTGAGGTTCAAGAAAGAGCTGTTAGCAGTGTTAATTTTGGAGAGAATTGTCAGATATCACATGCTTTGGTGAGTGATGTTTGCAGCCGTAGTCAGACTCGCACTTTAGTCAGAACTTCAATAGTTATGTTCTTAGTTTTCTGTGTGTATAATATGAACTTATTGTCCAGATATAACAGAAAAACTAAATTATGTCTGCAGAATCTGATATGGCCCAGGGTTACCCTCACAGAGTTATGTCACTGTGTAGGAATGCAGAAATCTGCACTTCTTGCTTAGGATAAACTCACCATTATGTGAAACATGAATATCCATGCCCCCTGCCCAAAGTTGTTGCTCATCTTACTCTCTAGCAGAGGAATCCTGGTCACAGACCGGGACCCTGTTGTGTAAGGTGGTGTGCGCACACACATGCATACCCCTGCATGAGTCCCATCCTTGTCGATTTTGAATTTCAGCAATGAAAATACAGTCACAGATAACAGTTGGAAGTGCAGAATGGGTAGTGATATCTGTATTCTGGTAGCTTATCACGTGTCAGGTTTTTGGAGCTCTTCTGGGAAAGTAATGTTTTGTTTTCTGTGGATGATGGGAAGATAAGGCTAGTGGGCCTTTCTCCCTAGAATTTGTCTATAACCAGTGTAACCCGAGGTCCATGAATAATTCACATTTCCTGGTCATTAGTGTTCGCTGAAAACGAGTATTCATCGTAATATAGTTAAGCTTATAGTTAACCCTGTAGAGAACAAGTAGTGGTTAGCACTTTCTCATACCTTAAGGGGGCGGGGGGGGGAATTCCCTTTTGCAGTCTCATTCAGAAAGTTTTCGTATGTTCAGAAACAGGATGATAGTATTTCTTTCAAATCACCATTGCATATGTGGAATGGTTGACTGTCAACAGCTGTCCTGCATATTGTTTGATATGAGCAATAGCATAGATCCATGGTGATGCTGAGGAGTGGAAGTAAGGAGAAAGACCCCCCTCAAAAAATTGGTTGAATAATGATGAAATCATGAGAGTGGAAAACTAGTTGATGTCTTTTCTTTGTGAAGAGCAACTGGAGTTTGTCTCCATATTTAAAAAGCCAGTCAGTATGCAGACACCTTCAGTGATGCTAATGCTGCAGCAATCTGCAAAGTCTTTGAGTTAAGAGCAATATTCAGTTTAAAAAAAAAAAAAAAGTAGCAAGAATTCCTACTTACCACAATGGTTCTGCTGTGTTCAGTGCACTTTTTGTCTCTGGAGTAGGATGTATGATTTATTTTAGCATATCTTTGAAAGATAAGGTTTTTCTACATGTGTTTTGTTTTGTTTTTTTTTTTTTTAAAGAAAGAAAGAAACAAAAAGGATAAATAATGTAGGACAGAAAACTACTATTGCTGCTTTTTTAAAAATACATTTGCCTCCCTACCTTTACCAGTGGTAAAAGGCTTGTAACTTCAAAGACACCTTTATCTTCCTTTTTAGTGCGTTGTTTTGGGATTAGGGATTCTGTAGTTGAAATGGAACACCACCCCTGGACCACTGGGTCTGTTGTAACTCATCACTTTCATCCTTAACCCTGTAAGTCCATTTCGCTTGTTTTAAAAATGACTACGTGAGTGTCTGCATCAGTCAAAACTATATATGAAAGCACTACCTGTCACCTCAACCAAATGAGGTAAAGTAGGAAGTCAAACTCCCTGTCTAGTATGACAGATAATACCAGCTTCCAAGTCTAAAACCTGTCATTCCTGTTTTCCCACTGAGAAGAATCATTGTCCAATTATCAGCTATATTGTTTTTTTCATCTTTTTAATTTAAAGCTCTACCAAGCATCATTAGTGGGGGAGGAAAATGACAAAATGGAGCAGAGTATATCACACTGATGCTGGAGAAATGACACCTTTGTTCATTCTCATCTTTTGTACAACATCGTGTGGCATTATTCTGGAAAATCCTGCTCTCTAGGCACATAGCAAATATCGATGTCTGTCCTGCCTGCCTTCCTGGCTCCCTGACAGCTGAGCTTTGAGGGGACAATGACACTTTGGAACTGGAGCACAGGCCAGCCAAATGCAGAAGCTCTGTGTAACATACGGAAAATACAGAAGTAGAAAGTTCCTGAGACATTAATATGAGGAATCTGCCATGTGCAGTTTTACAGTAGAAACAGGGTGAAATGGTTTCTCAAACTGTCTACTGATATATTTCAATACCCAGGTATATTGCTGGGCTCTTTGTAGTATTTGCTTTTGAAATACGTTGCAGGGGGAAGGGGCAGTCATGCACTAGAAACTGCTGGGTGGATCTGTACACAGTTGTATTGCCCTGGAAAGGCAATGGATATTCGGATGGGCTGTGATGCAGCCATTTTCAGAACATTTTGACTCCAGTTAGTTTTCTTCAGTGTTTTGAAGAATATGAATTTTTTACCTGAGACTAAGCATGGGAAAAGTTAACCCAAAATGTATTTGGCCCCAAAACTGGGAACAACGAAATGAGGAGTGGAATTGGATGGCAAAGTTTAACTTGTCAAACAAATGGTGCTGGATTCTTTCAGTAATACTGTGTAACACTCTCTTGTTTGTAATGACTGTTTTAAGTAGGATTGTTTGACAGAACTAGACACTTCTTTCTTTCATCTTTGTGATGTTCAGTAGTATGATGAGGGGAAGGTCATTCTTGGAATTAAAATTTTGCTTCTGTGATACCAGTTCTTAAGAGAAACCTCACGTTGCAGCAGGTGATTTGTCCCTTAACAGCAAATCAGTTTGTCTTACCCAGGTATTCATTGCCCCTGAAAGGAATGAAATCTTTCTTAATGTGAATCAGCTTTGCTAAGAAATCATGCATATCGCTTGGCAAAATAGGATGAATAAAACCACTTTATTCTGTGAAAATATTGGTCCTGTACAAGTTGTGATTTTTTTTTTTTTTCAAGCAAAAGACATACTGCAGAAGATGCCTTGTTGTAGCCGAACAAGGCTTAAGGTTTCACAGGTCCTACAAGCATTGTCTCTCAAAACCTACCCAGAAAGTGCTCTAATGTCAGGATCTGGTAACTTCACATTCACTTGATCCAGGTGGAAGTTGTGTGGAGGTATTGAACAAGCCTAATAAGTGAAATGGCTATGGATTTGATCCACTGAGTTCCTGTATCCTTCACAGCCAAAATTTGTGTCCTTTTACAGCCAGGACTCGCAAGTATGTCTTAGGATCCCTAATTTGTAGCTGAGGACTCAACAGATGAAGCTGTTCTTGATAAGTGTTCCTTAAGCTTCATGTTCTTTCTCATGTTATTTCTAGCCAGTTTTAGCTGTTTAAGTCACCCAGACAGTTTCTCATCTTGGTTATGCCCGCAGTGTGCTGGCGAGCGTTTAAATTG